GCAGCACAGCAGCAGCAGCAGCACTCCAGCAGCTCCGGCAGCAGCACACCACCAGCAGCTGCAGCACAGCAGCAGCAGCAGCACACCAGCAGCACCGGCAGCAGCACACCACCAGCAGCTGCAGCACAGCAGCAGCAGCAGCAGCACACCAGCAGCAGCACACCACCAGCAGCTGCAGCACAGCAGCAGCAGCTGCAGCACAGCAGCAGCAGCACACCAGCACAGCAGCAGCAGCAGCAGGAGTTGCTGACGTGGGCAGTGAACTCGGCGACGGTGGAGTTTTGGGCGCACTGCTGGGCCTCTTTGGAATAATAGTTTTTCGTTTCTTTCAAAAAAAGATTTTCGAATTCTTCTTTGTAAACTGGCCGGCTCAAATTAAAAGACAAATTCGAAAGTAATTCCACAAAGCCCCGCACCAGACCCAGCTCCACGCCCTCCCCCTCCGCCTGTACGTACACCCCAACGCCTCCTGCTGCAGCAGCTGCTGCCGCTGCTGCTGCTGCTGCAAACGCTTGTGTTTTGGTTGTTTAGTTCTAGCTCCATTTTAGCAATTAAAATGCAAAAATGACAAAATGCAGTGATTGATGAGTTTATTGTATTTACGTTTTTTATAAATGCAGATACAAATAATGATTCATTTTATAAATGCAGAAATGCATGCAAATGCACGTTTATGCTCTCCTGACTCAGTTCAGAAAAGCTGAAAACTGTCAAAGCAGCAGCAGCAGCAGCAGCAGCAGCAGCGCTCACGTCTCTGTACTGTTTGATCTTTTCCATGAGAAAGGCGCGAAACCTGGGTCTGATGAATTTGTCTTTCAAAACAAAAAGAAAAAACAAATTCAAACCCATCGTGTACACCGGAGTCAGCCCGTGGCTGGGCACGAAGTTCCTGCAGCAGCCACCCAAAGCCGCCCTCTGCTGCTGCTGCTGCTGCTGCTGCTGCTGTTGCTGCTGCTGCTGCTTCAGTGAGCTAGCGGGAGCTGGAGCCAGAAGTTGAATGGCCCGTTCAACGGAGGCAGCAAATCCGAAGAAATTAAAAAACAATTAAAAGAGTTAAAACAATTAAAAGAATTAAAACAATTAAAATAATTAAAATGATTGGAACAACTAAAACAATCAAATGCCATTTGAGCAAATCAGGAGCAAAAACAAAAGATGAATTTAACAGCCTTCCCCAGAGTTGGCGCCAAACTGTTCAAATTCAATTTTTCTTCAATTTTAAAACTTTTTGAAAATTTGATGGAAATATAAAGCATTTAAAGAAAAGAAAGAAAGAAAATAAATAAAAAAGAAGAAAAGGAAATTAAAAGTGCAGACGAAATGCGCAGGCGCGTTGAGGTGTACGTACACCCGGAGGTGCGCGTACACCCGGAGGTGCGCGTACACCCGGAGGTGTACGTACACCGCAGGAAAGGCCTACTTGTCGAGATACATCAAAACGTCGCTGGCGAGCCGCATATTAACGGAGTGGTGTTTCCAACTGTTGATGAGGGCCTCCATGAAAGCTGTTTCATCTTTTTCGTTTCGAATTTCTTCTGCAACAGTTTCCAAGTGCTGCTGCACGCACAAGTAAGTTCCTTCGTACAGCTTCTGGCCCCGCTTGTGCAGCACCAGCGTGTACGCGTACCTGAAAAGAAACAAATAAATAGACTAATTAATTAATTAAATTAAATAAATATATTTTAAAAGACAAGAGAACATTTCAAGAAAGAAAAAGATGCGCAAGACTCTCACAAGACTCAAAGAAACTGCAGAACGATTTCGCAAGTTCCACAAAAACGGAAATTTCGGAATAAGGAAGCGAGTTTTGAGCATTTCAGTTTAATGAAACGACGAAAATTTGAATTCTTTTTTAATTTTTCATTTTAAAAGACAATTTGAAGACAAAAAGAAGCAGCGGCAAACAAATGCGGAACCGAGGAGTGGCGGTAGCGGAAAGCAAGTTGGATTTGAGCTTCGGAAAATAAAATGAAAGGAATAGAAGAAATAAACAAAAGAACTAAAAGATATGAAAGAAATGAAAGAAAGAAATGAAATAAAAAGATGAAATGAATGAACTGAAGCGCGCAGTCACTGAGGTGGAGATACACCCGAGGAAATTCAAGTTTTTGAATTTCGGGTTTCTGCGAAGTCGGGGCCCAAAAGAGCCCAAAAGACGGCGAAAAAAGCAGCATTTGAATAAATTTGGACAAATTTGAATGAATTTAAATAAATCTAAATAAATAAGAATAAATTAAGCAAAAAAAGGAATTAAATCGAGGGAATCTGGCGGCGGATCGCCCGCACCGGTAGAGCTCCTCGAAGGAAAGCGAAGCGGCGTTGTGCCGAAAGATCTGGCCAAAAGCCTCTCGCAAATAAATCCAAATTCTCTCCGCCTCTTCTTCAGAAAGTCCTTCGGCCCCGACGTAGCTGAGGCCCCTCATTGCGCTCTGCAGCGCGGAGCGCAGCGGGGGGCCCCTGCCCGCAGCAGCAGCAGCAGCAGCAGCAGCAGCAGGAGCAGCGCCCGCCGCCCCAGAGCCGCAGCCCCCGAACAACATTCACTCCCCCCTGCCCGCCTCCCCGGGGCCCATCCCCAGCAGCAGCACCGGCAGCAGCAGCAGCAGCAGCAGCAGCAGCAGCGGCGGCGGCAGCAACAGCGGGGAAAGCGGGGGCACCAGGGGAGCGGGTCGCAGCAGCATGCAAGGGCTTCTTTCCAAACGGGATCGCCGGACGCAGCAGCAGCAGGGGGAGGCGCTCAGCTGCTGCTGCTGCTTCTGCTGCAGTTCGCGAGAAATGCAGAAAGTTCAGAACTTAAAAATGATCTTCAGCTACTCAGACTGCCCCCGGAAGCAGAGAAGCTGCAGCAGCATCTACTGCAGCACGGAGAGCTCTTGAATCTCCCTGCCGCCAAACAACGAGGCGAGCCGCTGCGCTGCTGCTGCTGCTGCTGCTGCCGCTGCAGGCGCAGCAGGACTCGGGCCGCTGGGGAAGCTGCAGAAGCAGCAAATGCGGAAATTAGGAGAAGAGAAAGCCGCTGGGAGGCCCTGGGAAAAGGCTGAACGAACTTTGCGCTGTTGTCTCGGAGTTGAAAGAAGAAAAAGAAAAGACCCGATCTCGCAGCGGCAGCAGCAGCAGCAGGAGCAGCAGCAGCAGGAGCGGCGGGAAAGGCTCAGCAGGTTTCTTTGCTGCTTCGTGTGGACAGGAAAGGAAATAGCGCTGCGGCCGGAGAAGGAAGGCGGTGCAGCAGGAGGAAACGCCAGCAGCAGCTGAGAGGGGCAGCTGCTGCTGCTGCTGCTGCTGCGGCGTTTGCTGCTGCCGAAAGCCGAAAGGCGCAAAGCAGCCCAAGTCCCTGTCTATCGCAAACGCGCTTCCGCAAAACGCGCAAAGAGGCCTCCAGAAATGGACCAGTGGTCAGTTGTGGCGGAGGGAAGGAGGCGGAGGCGTGGCGTGCGTGTTGGGGTGTACAGACAGCTCGGCGCAAGCAGGCAGCCGATCTGCGCCGCGGAAAGCTCCAATGAAAGGACACTTTCGAGAACTTTGAAGAAAGTCAAAAAAGAAGCAGAAGGCACTTTTAATTTTGCAGAATCCGCCAGCTTTCCGCGCAGATCGCGGCCACGCAGTCGCCTGCCGGCATGCACCGCAGCGGCAGCCGCCGTTCAACTTTCTCTCCAATCCGCCCGTCCCAGCGGCTCCTGCGCCTTCCAATTTCTTTTCTTTGCAAACTTGCAAACAATTAAAGCCTTTTCTCCGCAGATTTCCGCAAAGGTCGCGCCAGACAGCCCGGAAGGCAGCGGCGGGGGGCGCCGCTGGCGGCGGGGCGGACTGGTGGAAACTGGCACGCTGCAGGTCTTTTCCCTTCGAAAGCCTTCAAACTTCTTCTTAACTTCTTCTAAACTTCCTTTTAACTCTTTTCTCTTTTTATTTACTTCATTTTCCACTTTCCAGCCCCGAAAACGCCCCAGATCGCCCCCCGGAGGTGCTGCCTTCCCGCTGCGCTGCTTGAGTCCGCGCTGCAACAGCGCAGCAGCGCAGCAGCAGCAAGTCAATTTCCCGCCGTTTCCACCTTTTAGGCTTTTTAATTTAATTCAAAACTCCAAACGACTCCAAAGATAGAAACAATTAATTCCCAGGGGCCCACTGACAGCTGCTGCTGCCCTTTGCTGCTTCAACGCACACTTTGAGTTCCAACTTCGCCCTTCTTGCTGCTCCTCTTGACACCACTGCAGCAGCTGCTGCTGCAACAGCACCTTCTGCTGCAGCAACAGCTGCAGCAGCAGCACCAGCTGCTGCCTAGGTCTGTTGGCTTAGCGAGCTGCAGGAAGTCTGGAGAGAGGAATTTCATAAAGAAAAGAAGATTCAGTTTGAATTAGTTCATTGAACTTGATTTGTCTCTTTCACTTATTTCTTCTTTTATTATGTTTCTAAAATATCAAATGGAAGTGCTGCTGCTGCTGCTGCTGCTGCTGCAGTTGGTTCAGAATTATATCTTTTGATATTTCTCGAAATCACTTTTATCACATTTCCGAGAGAAAGAGATGTACATACACCCCAACGCCAAACAAATACTTCAAATGTCGGCCAAATTAAATCCTCTTTTTGGCATTTAAGAAATGGATAAATAATACGATTAGTAAATATAATTAATGAACAGTAATGAATATAATTAATAAATATAATTGGTGGAAATAAATAATAGTGCAGTTGTCGACAAATGGAGTTAATTCATTCAGAAAATATGATTTTTAATTTGCACACTTTGAGACAGAGACGGAGCCACTGGGTGTCTGCAAACAAGAAAGAGCACTTCGAACTTTCAATTCATTTTATTTATTTATTTCATTTATTTATTTCTTCTATTTATTAATTTCTTTTTCGCCGAAAGTTTATTTTTGCTTTTATTCTAACAAAACCTAACGGCGAAATATTAGGAAAGACGAGGTCTGTGGCTCTAGCTAGCCACTGAGGTGCGAAGAGCCCTGGTTAGCTAGCTAGCTGGCCAGCTAGCTAGCCAGCTGGCCAGCTAGCTAGCTGTAGCTAGCTAGCTAGCCGGCCAGCTAGCTAGCTAGCAGCTAGCTAGCCAGAC